GAGATGCAGCAGGTGGGCCTGCAGCAGATGGGCTGGCAGCACTGGGGCCTGCAGCAGCTGGACACACAGCAGGTGGGGCGGCAGCAGGTGGGCTGGCAGCAGCTCTCCTGGCCACAGCCCTGCTCAGAGCAGACGGAGCCACAACAGGAGTTGACCATGGTGTTGGCGGCTGGAAGTTCTGGGTGGGTTCGGGAGAGTGGGGTTTGTGTTTGGAGTCTCCTTGTTGCACCTCGCCTTTTATACCCAGCTGAGGCATTTCCATGCTTAGGAAATGACTACTTCCTTGTTTTTGTTTATATGACATGAATACAATTAACAAATTGCATTGTATTTGTCTAGGAAGAGCTCCCCATAAGTAGAAAGTAATTGCCACCCTTTTCTCCAGCTTCCTGCTTGTTCCCACATGTGTCATCTCCACCGGCTCTTCCCTGGGCTGCGGTACCACATGGCCTTTCCTCAGTATCACATGATGTGTGAAAGTCACTATCTCAGGTCTGTTTTCTATCCTGTTGTGATTTGGGGACAGTCTGAGAAGGTGAGGACCCCAGAGGATGCATTCATACCTCAATTAGAGGCCGGGCCAGTATGGAAAAGGTAGCCGGCTCCTCTTTCTGCATGTGCAAAGTAAGGCGGCTCTGACTCCTGTGCGCCTTCTGGGTGGCCATCAGGCAGTGGCATCCCCGGGACACTCCAAGGCATGGCCATTCTCACCACCCCGAGGCACCTGGAAATGGCAGGAATTCAGTTTTTAAGGACTGAAGAATCACCTGAAACTGACCAGTGTCCACCTTCAGAATCGCCCTCCGGGCAGCGGTAGGGCAGTTCAGACAACAGTCATAACTTCCCCCCTGGGATATCGCCACATGGCATCTTTATGCATTAGGGACGTCTGTTAAAATATTTTCTTATGTCTTGAGAGTTTAAAGACATCTAGCAGTGTTTGTGGCATCATTTATGTCTAAATTCCATAGACATTAAAGGGAATATAAAGGGCCAGTTCCTCGCAGGACACATGCCTAGAGAAACATTGTGTCTGTAAAACTTTTCTTTTTTCTTTTCCTTTTTAAAACGTTTTTGGCACAGTGTGTCACTACGTGCCCAGGCTAGCCTTGAACTCTTCCCAGCAGGCCTGCCTCGGCCTCCTGAGGGCTGAGGTTACAGGCGCACACCCCCATACCTGGCTACCCAGAGTTTTAAAATCAAAGGCTCACATGATTATGGCCCAAAATAAAGATGCAGGCTCAGGGCACCAAAAGGATTTAAGAAAGAAGCAGATTGCCTTGAGGATGCTCCCTGCGCCCGGCAGGGATCACTGGGAACCCTGCTTCCTGCTGGTCACCTTTCACTGCGGTGTGAGCGCTGCCGGCCTTTGGCGGCGGCCTTGGCCTGCACGAGGCAGTCTGTCCTCCACTGGGTTTCTCTGGTGCTTTGTATCTGCAGGAACTCTGTGCCTTCCTTCGCTTCCTGAAATGTGTGTGTCTGCTTTCTCCTTCTACAGCACAGACTCCCTCAGGGTGGGACATGCTCTCTATTCCTCTGTCCTCCCAAAGCCTGACTGAGTTTCTTTTTTTTTTTTTTTTTGGCGGAACCGGGGATTGAACTCAGGCCCTTGTGCTTGCCACGGAAGCGCTTATTCCACTGAGCCCTCTCCCTGCTCCCTATGAGTCTCTGATAAAGGAGATTCTTCTTAGTGAATCAAGATTTTGTTGAGGACTTCCAGGGACTCACACTGGCCCTTAAGAAGTTGTAGCATTCACATACGGAGAGAGAAAAGGACTGCGGAGCAGGAGCCCACCTGGGCCTGAACGCAGCCCCTGCTCGGATGGACACAGTGCACTGAAGGTCTCTGAGGAGAAGTAGTGAGGGACAGAAGGAAACTCATCGAGCTGAGGAGCGAGCGAAGGTCCCCTGGATCCTGGAAGAAATAGTGGGGAGCCATGGAAAGCCAGGAATGTGAGGGGATCATATGGAATGGACAGTTTACTTTAATTTATGACCTGCCTCAGAAGTTCAGAGACACTTCAGGATTTCTGAGGACAGAGATTGTTTAAAAGCTTCGAGTAGGGTAGGGCTTGACATACTCTCAGCATCAAGGGATGGCAAATGACGTAACAGACACCTTGTTTGTTATCAAATAACAAATTTCTTGGCTGTAGCAAGCGTCCCCCTCCCCAGCGCTTCTTCTTGCCTCGGTCCTGTGTTCAGGGCCATGTGCCTTAGCCCTCATGGATCCCCAAGTTCCTGGAGGTGAGGGGCTAAGGACAGAGACAGGATGGGGAAATAAAGACAAGAGACAGAAAGCTGAGCTCAGGGGGAGCCCAGCCTCCAGATGGGAGGACAGGAACTGCTCTGCCACCACACAGTGTTTGTCCACACCTTTGCAAGGTCGGGGCCACGTGACACCACTTGGCCCAGCAGCCCACTGCTCGGGCGATCTTGGGCATAGGGGCTCTCCGGGCTGGAGCAGCCTGTCTACCCAGACTTCCATGGGCGCTCTTTGTGCTTGGACCTGCCTCGCCTCACTCCACGTGCGATCCATTCCGGCTTCAGCTTTCCCTACAAGGCCCCAGGAGCTGAAGTCCCACAGTGTCCTTTCCAGGTCCCCAGCGGCCTAAGGACTCTCCTGGGATCTCAACTCTGAAATCCCAGCTCCTCCCGATGATACCCCCCTGGCTACCAGTCCTTTAGCACACACGCCTTGGGGGAACATTCTAGATCAAAATCACAGCACAACGGCTCTTCGTAGGAGTCATTTTTAATGCTTAAATTTTAAAAATCGTCACAGTGACACATGCTCTACCGTGACTCTCCCCTCCCCCAGCTTTTTGGGGAAGGCACAGAAGTTATCCCAATGCAGCTCGGTGTTTCTGTGCTTTTCTCTGCATGATCCGTGTCCCTCACCCCCAACATGAATAGTCCAGTACTTGTCAAGACGAGCAAATAAGAAGGGCTACATCATGCCCAGAAGCAAGAACCTGGAGACGTGAAAGCCAACTTGGAGATGAGGGAGAGACCTGACCTCACCAGCCAAGCTTGCGGGTTTGGCGCAGTGGCGTTCTCACAGTGTCTGCCTCCCTGTGAGTCCGGGCAATGTAGAGGCAGAGGGCTGGGGACCACGGCGGCCTCCTCTGGGCTCTGAGGTCCTGTCGGGGCGGCGCTTGGCAGGACGCGGGGCTGTGCTAGCTCATTTATGGCGCGGCGGTCCAGGGCGTGAATCCCATCATAATCCCCTCCTGCTGGGACAAGGACCTGAGACTCGGGAAGGAGCCACGATTTGGCCCCCACTGGGCCAGCACCCACCCCATGCTCCGAGTCAGGCACTACCCTGCCCTTCTGCAAAACCAGACAGGACAGAAGCAGCTCTTAACTGTCATGTTGCTTTGGGCACATTTAGAGTTGATGTTTTGGGAGGCTTTTCAAAGGGTTTTCCAGTTACAAATTCAAACAAGTGTTTATCACTTGAACTTAATCCATGAACTTCAAGATGTCATGCTGTCTTTGTTTAAATGCTTAGGAATATCGGCCAGTTGTAGCATAAACGCCCCCCCACGCCCGCCCCAGTACACTTCAGTTTGCTGGCTGCCCAGGTAATAGTTCCTGGACCAGTTGTCAATCGATCCTGTCTCCTAGAAGCAGCTGGTCACGGGGATGCACACCGTATGAACAGTTGACAAGCTGTTCCGCCTGTGTACTTCCGGCCTGCTTATCCAGCCCGCCAGAGATCAGGGCCTGATACTCTGGGAGTGATCCCGATCTTGCCCGTTGACATAAATAAGTCTGCCTCCATATCCTGGAGTCGTGGTGTTTCTCCTTGCTGGTGCAAGATGCAGGCTCTACACCTTCTAAAACCAGGCATGACCATAGCCCGGCACCGTCCATTGCACATCTGCCCCTCTCCTTGCTGACTTGCGATGCGGCCTGTGCAGGAACTAGCGTCCTCCGTGGACTGTGCGTCTCTGGGCTTGGGTCTCCTCTCCCTGGTGACTTCTCACGCCCCCACCTCGACCACGAGTGTGTGGTCCTGGCTTGCTCCTGGTGGGCAGCACATCCAGTCTGCCCTCTGAATTGTGACACCAGGCTAGGGAAGCTCAAACCTCTGTCTGACAAAATAGTAACGTATGCCGGGTTCCCTGCCATTGGGACATCGCTGGCACCTGGCTGGCCCGTGTTGGCTCGGCGGTTGCCTGATTCTGGTAAGTTCTTCTTGCACGTTGAGTCCAGCCACCCGCCCTGGAGGACCCCCGCGCGTGCTCGCCAGGAGCCCACTGCTAGCCTCCCCACGTCGTTTCCCTCTCCTGTTGGCCAGGTAGGGCTGCTAAGACGGACTTGTGGGATTACAGAGCCTGCCTCTGCTCTGTCCTCAATCAGAACATCGTCAGTTGCTACACTGCTTAGGATTTCTCACCCAGAAGGGCTTGAACAACTCCAAGGTACATTTTAGGATGTCCAGATCAAACCAAGTGAAGAGCAGGCCTCACCTTTTATTGACTTCTAATCCACCCCACTCTACCTTTAGGTAAAGCTGATGTGACTATAAAATAATCACCCCAGTCACGCTTCTCATCTGTATTTATCTCTGTCCTGGCTTTCTCTAGCCTAACCGCTCCACGATCACTTTTGGACCTTGCAGGGCACCGTCGTTCTCCCTGAAGGCAATTACGCTTGAGTGCCTGCTCTCACTAAATCCAGGGCGCTTTGCACACTGTGCCTGGCCTCTTCACCCAAGTCTCCCAGAGGACTTCAGGCCTGCTCCTTGCTGTGAGCCTTGGACACCACCCTGCCCCTAACTTACTGTCGCCTACACACATAGTCCTCTTGCCACACAGAGCGTGCACTTGTTCCTGGTCTTGTAAAACCTGGAAATTATAAGCCTCATGTGCTGCAAAACTGAAAGGACCCTATAAAGTTACTCTGCTTTGATTTAGATATAGCTAATAAAGCATTCCAGTAAAACCAGCACTTGTGTCTTGTAATTAGAAGTCGTTGAAGAGGAATATAGGGAAAGATGAAAGATGTGTAAATCCTGGTGAAGGAAAAGCAGGTCTGTCCTCCGTGGAGCAAGGTGGAGCAAGTGGAACAGCACAAGCCAGCAAGCGTCCAAAAACATTTCAATGACGCTGGAAGAACAAACACATCCCCCAGCCGATGGCGAGGTGAAGCCCGCGGTATGGCGATCAGCATTCATTTTGTCTCAGCATGTTAAGACTATTTTAAAATTTTCAAAATACAATAACTCAGTATACTTATTATTTAGAAATATAACACTCATATCCAGTGGATGGAAGTGTTGAGTTTAGAGCTGTTTTGAAATTCATACAGCCAACCCTGGAAGAAGAAATATAGTCAGGTGAAATTTAGATGACTTCAAGATGTTCAACTCACTGGAATTTTTAAAGGTCATGTAAGGCATCTGCCAAAACTTATTAGTTTTGGCAAATGAAACACCTATACAATTTTTTTCTGCTGTTTTTGTCAAAGAGAATGCTATTCAGGTCCAGAGGAGCATTTCTTTCTTTTCTTTTTTTCTTTCTTTTTTTTTTTTTTTCTTTGGTGGAGCCAGGGATTGAACTCAGGCCCTTGTGCTTGCCAGGGAAGCGCTTGTTCCGCTGAGCCATCTCCCCGGCCCTAGAGGAGCATTTCAACAGCAATCGAGCCACACTGGCTGAGCACTTACATTCCCCGTTAGCCCCCGTGGTCAGTGCGCTGCATGGCTGGGTCCCTAAACCTTTGGAAAGCGCTCTGTGTTTCTCCGTTTCACACAAAAGAAACCTGACGCCAGAGGACGTTAGGGACTTCTGTGTGTCCTGGGGCAGGGCCTAGCACAGCCTGATTCCAACACTGGTGACATGGGCCCCTAGAGTAGGACAAAGGGGGTAACGTGTGTGAGGTGACAGGTGAACACGCACGCACACACACACACGCACACACACATTATTAACAAATCAGGAAAACATTCAGGAGATTTAGGCATCACAGGAAACGATTGTTTATTGAGAATACCTGGAAGCAGTGCTCTGAGATCATTTCACTTAGCATACTCTTAAAATGAAGACAGCGCTTGCCTAAAAACAGACGCATTTTTGGGTGTGGCTTAACATATTTTTAACACGTGTGTTTTCATCTGCTTTTTGATAGAGAAACTGAATGCAACCCCGAAGGCCACCTTGGAAGAGAACATGGCGGGTCAAAAGCGCATTTCTTTGGCCGCCAGGTGGCTGCCATGTGTGTTGTATGACCAGGGAAGATGTCTGTTATGTGACAGTGATGACAGCCACAGCTCAGCAGCAGGGGATGGCGCAGCACATGGGGCGGGGGCAGGTGGAGATGACACAGGTGGGGCGGTAGCAAGAGGTGTGGCAGGAGACCTGGCCACACGGGGGGCGCAGGCAGCAGGACCAGCAGCGGCGGCAGCAGCCAGAGCCACAGCAGCTGGAGCTCCCACAGGAGGGGCGGCAGCAGCTGGAGATGCAGCAGCTGGGCTGGCA